AGTACAGCAGCTGCAGCGCCACGCACAGCACCAGGTACACGGTGATGGCGAGCTTCTCGCCGACGCGGCCAGTGACAAACCCGAGGGCGACGCGGCCGACGGTCAGGCCGAGCCAGAAGAAGACGACGGTCAGACCGGCCTCGAAGGAGCCGGCGTGGCGCACGCGCAGCATGAAGGTCACGATCCACCCGCCCAGCGAGACCTCGGCGCCGACGTAGCACAGGAGGAAGACGGCGATGAGCCAGGTGACGGGGTTGCGGAGGACGGTGCGGGTGGTGACGCGGGAGCCCTCCTCGCCGGCCTCGGCGTTGTAGGTGGCGCGGTGGACGGCGCCGGTGGCGGTCCAGAAGGCGGATGTGCTCACGGCCAGGGAGACGACCTCGAGGCCGGACATGAGGTAGAAGAAGGTGTACCAGGGCAGGTTGCCCTTGGTGATCATGGCGGTGGCGAAGAGCGGGGCGATGGTGGCGCCCAGGCCGTAGGCGCCGTGCAGGAAGCCGAGGAGCTCGTTGGCCGAGCGCATGTTGCCGATCCAGGCGTTCCAGGCCGAGTCCTCGATGCCGTTGCCGAAGCCGGTGACGAGGAGGACGACGGGCAGGGCCGGGTACGGCGGGTGGCAGGCCATGGGGATGAAGCCGACCAGGCGGCAGGTGGGGCCGAGGATGGCGACGCCGCGCTGGCCGAAGCGGTGGTGGATGTGGTTGTTTAGGAGGGCCGCGACGAGGTAGCCGACGAAGGGGGAGAGGAAGAGCAGGGAGACGACGGTGTAGGTGAGGTCGTAGTATTCTTCTACCTTTGCGTGGGTCAGCGGGGGGGCTTGTTCGGGGATGGGGTGGGACGTACATAGGGAAGCAAGGCGCCGATGACGGCGTCGCTCATGCCGAGGAGGATGAAGTTGTAGATGGTGGAGAAGTAGCGAAACATGTTGGTTGGGGATTCGTTCCAACGTTGCTGCTTGAGTTCGGCGGGTGGCGACGGCGCCTCTCCCGCCGCCACCGCTTCTTCATCGGTGGTGATGTCTGTGATGGCGGGCTTTTCTGGGTGGGGGTTGTTGTGGCGGTTGAGCTGGTCGAGGGAGGACTGGCCCTTTTCCACGACGGGCGATGTGGGTGGTGACATGGTGACTGGTGAGGTTGAGAGCCAATGGGTAAAAGGGGTGTTGTTGATTCTCGTCAGCCCGTCAAACACTTGGGATATGAGACGGGATCGGTCCGGTTTATATATCCTCGACGAGCCTTGTCGATGTCAATCGCAAAACCAGACACCGCTCAATGCCTGCGGCCTGCCTTGTAAGACCGGTCCGAATATACCCCCCTCTTCGTATCTCTCCCCGGTAGTACTTGGGATTCCTTCGCGGCTCTCAGACACATCGACTGCCTCGAGACCTCACATGAGCAGGCTGGTTGGTCGGTGTAGGATCAATGGAGACGTAGTTGCGAAGAGGAAACGAAGAAAAGCCGAGGAATAGGCGCGCGGGCGGAGAGGATCCGGGGGCTGGACGGGACGAGGTTGTCGTCAAAAGCACGGGGGGCGACGGTGGAAGGGGGGGGGGTGTTGGGGGGAAGAGGAAGGGGGGGGGGGGGTCGGAGCCGCCAGAAGGGGACCGGGTCGGGATATGGAGACTTTTCGGAGTTACTCTGGGAAGGCAAAGGTAAGGTAGTGTCATCATGTACGCTACGGGGCGGTATGTGACGGTGATGGATGCTGCAGTGGCAGTGGCAGAGGGAAGGGTCATTGTTGGGGTGGATGTTGCCGTGGGGTTTTACTTTGTCACTGCGGTTTGTTTTCTGGTCTCGACCTCATATTGAAGATGCCCCGCGGGTGTGTACTTTGTTTCTTGAACATGTTCATCTTCAAACCGTCGCTGCCGATGATCCGGTTCGACCGCAGCAGAGGAGCCGGCACGGTGGCGGCGGGGGCCCGGTGACAAACAAGACTTTTTTTCCTTTTCTCGGACTGCATCGTTGGATTCCTTGGCGGCATGACGAAAGGGCAGATCCTGGGGTGCGTGCCGATGATCAGCCGGGGCGGTCCGACAGACCGGAAGACGGGCCCCCGACTGGGCGGGGAAGATAATGCTGCCGCCGTCCATGTCGTCGCCGTCACCATTGTGATGTGTTTGTGTTGCGCAACACAGAGTCACCTGCGCTGGGAGGAGGAGTTGATGACAAACGGGCCTGCCTTTGAAGCCTCATTTTTGGTGGCCACAGGACAGGACCGGGCAGGGGCCTTTCCGTGCCCAGTGGCCGGGAGAGGTCTGGTCCACGTTGTCAAGGGCAACCATCAAACGAGCCACAAGAGGTCAGTCAGTTTGACTCCCCTCTTCACCTACGAATGACCTGATAAGAACGACACATCGGGGATGCAATCAATGTGCACATTTTGTCGGGACGCTGCCACTCCGACATTTCGCTGGCCAGCGGGCTTCCCGATTTGGTGTCTCCGCCAAACGAACCGATGACGCTCCCGACTTCTTCAAACCTCTCAAGAAAGACTCGCACCCCTTCGTCCAGCCATTCTGATCTCTCAAGTCGACTTTGGGTTCCTTCGACGAGATGGCTCTCAACCCGGACAGTATCATCACCGACGTCCCATACCGCTACTTAGATACCTAGGTAGGTAGTATTGCAGAACCATCTTCAACAACAAACTAAGAACCTCAAGTCCCGGCCAGAAGTTCAAAGGCTAACAGAACGCATAGTTTAATCATTTGTCTCGATGCTGCACTAGCAGTCGGACATATTCTCGTGGTTTCTTTGTGTCGTCAGGCAGCTTTCCCCAAGCCACAACTCTCGAGGCATTCTCGGGTTTCCTTCTGTCGTGTCGGAGATCAGTGGAGTTGATGTTCTGCGTTCTCTTCCTGGCCGGCAATAGGTTCTCTCGAGTGAGATGTTATCTTTCGACTGGGTGGCACGGATACACCAGCCTCGCTGGCCTCGTCTCTTCGTCCCTCCGCCATTAGTGTGGCTTCCCCCAGCTACATCAGCACGGCAACAGGGCGAGCGGTTCGGGCGTCCGGGCTAAATCACCACGAAGACTTGGCTCGGCGCACACTGCATCTCACGCCCACTGTCAGTCCGAGAACAGAGACGCCATCACACATTATTTATTACACACTGTATCATCTCTCCACTGTATCATCTCTCTTCTTCCACGCAAAGCCTCATCCTGGTCTCTGTATCACGACACCCCACAACCCGACACTCTACCCCTTGATCTCACAGAGCGAGTACCAATGCCAAGGACATTCATGCTCTTCCAGTACTATTCTGCAGAATTTCCTCCGTTGGCCCGGTTGAAGGCTGTCATAATTTCTTCCAACTTCACCTCCATCCTGGTCTTGCTCTCTTCAACACAGGTGCTTGTTGTGCCTGGCACCAAGATGAGGATGTTGCCATCGCGGGCCGCCTCTTCTTCGAACATCTGAAGACGGGCCTCTCGGGCCTCGATCTTCTCTTGCTTTGCCAGAGAGTGGCGAGGGCTGCTACTAGATGTCAGTTGACACTGGAAAGTCCAGTCACAATGCAGAGGATCGAGCAAGGGAAGACCAACTCTTGGTTGAGAACCATCGTCCCTGATGGCCGGGCTTGCTGTGGGAAGTGTTTGGTACTGGGGACTGTGGGTGAGGAGATGGACCTGGAGCGATGATGGGAGCAACCAGGAGACTGGAGAGAGCAGACCTTGGGCGGTCTTTATACCACACTGAACTCTCTGCCGCCCAACTCGAGCATCAACGACCGAATCACAACCCCTAGCGCCTTTGCGATGCTCACCACCATCTTCAACCTACCAAGGCTTCTTGGGCGTTACACGGGTGCGCCTCCATGCATCAAACATATGGACAAGCACTGCCGACCGGCTGTAAAATTCGCCGCCGAAGGGTCCGATACCATTTCTTTGCACCGTCCTGGTCAGCAACAAGCTTGGCTTTGCCCGACTTCAAGATATCAATACCAATCAAACGGTTAACGATGTAGTGGTACTTGCAGTATGGTTTTCGGCGTCTTGCTTCTTGTATCCTAATTGCGAGCTACTTATGCCTAACATAACTCATCCTACAAGTAACTTCACATCCAGGTCTCGGCGCAAGTAAGGTACATTCTCGGCTGTGGCTTCATATCCCGGCACAATCTTCACCTACAGATGGGGAAGGCTCCTGCCGTCCCTCCTCGATGTGCTGTCCACGTCATGGTCACCTGTAAGTCATTGCCGGCCAAGATCTTGGGCTGAATTGCTCCCTGTTTACTGGTCCTATGACACTGTCCGGGGGGTGGAAGTGCTTGAATCACTTCTGGTCTGGCTGCCTGATATGCTTCTCAGCTCAGACAAGAGCTCAGAGCCTCATCCGCGAAAAAACCCCGACTTGTATTCACGCAGACTAAGTCTCGATTGGAAAAGTCTTGTTGATCACTACGGCTTCGTGGAGAGACATCCGGAATGCAGTTCCGCTCGCGGAATTAGTGGTACTTGGCGGAATGAATACACAGCTGACTTGCAAGAATCGCTTCTGCAAACATACTGTACCACGGCACTGCCTGCACTGCACTCGATTGAGTGAAAACATGCAGGAACTTGAAGCTCGCAATGGGTTATGGTTCCGTGATGACGAAATAGTCAGGGTCCAGATGGAAATGGATCGGTCCAGACCGCGATCAGGGTCCGTAATGACGGAATCTTATGGGTAAGCCAGGGCGCGAGACCTTCCAGACGGAAATGGACTGGTCCAGACCGCCGCGTAGATTGGGGGTCATGGGAACCGAGTGGCAAGAACGTACCGGTCGAGCTGAGTGCTGTTGTCCAGGTTCGAACAACCTAGGCAACCATGCAGATGTAAATAATGAACCTGATTTGCTCACTTGGTTGAGAAAACTGGAGTCTCGTTTCGGTGGAAGGCATCAAGACTCGGGACAAGTTTGGAGTTGGAGGATTGCATGGTACGCGCTTGATATAGCATGTTAGGGAGACTCATTCTAACAATTCGGGATCATGCACGATTTCAATCGGGTATGGTGTAGCGGTAACATCGCTGACTCTCAAAGAGAGATCTCATGGATCTTCTAGATTCTCAGCAGCCCGGGGTTCGACTCCCCGTATCCGAGATATTTTTTGGACTTTTTTGAGTGTGTTTCAATATCTCCACAACCACTCACTCACTGGTTTTGTCATTCAATTCCTTTCCTTTTCTTTTGCTCCTGACATGGACTTGCTCGCTGCTCGCGTGGTTTGCAGCTCAGTCGCCACACAACTAACAGGCCCACCCGGTGCCCCGGGTCCAACCCGCCGTGCAATGGGTTGTTTGAGGCCGGCGGAGACCGGCAGGGACCCCCGGTCCAGCACGGGGCGAGACTCTCTCCAAAAGAGCCTCACACGTGCCTCCCACTGCCTCATATCCCCCATCTAGTTGTACGAGAATACATGACAGCCAGGGTTAATGCCTTCATCCCACCCAACTCCCCTGACCTCGCCCCTGAACAGCCCCCAACAATACCAGATCCCCCCCTACAACTCCCCCAGGAACCTCACGCGATGGACAAGCCCAGAAGCCATCCACGTTTCCAAGCCATGGGGCCCAGCAAGCCCAGAAACAAATACCACGACTCAACCGCACCCGAGCCTTCCGTATAAGACCGAACCGCAACACATCCCCCTTCTTCCACCCCCCAACAAACACCAACACAACACCACACCACCTCCCACTCCCATACCGCTCTGGTCCATACCCAGAGCATCGAAACACCCAACCACACCCCCCTCCAACCGACGCTCCTTCCTACCACACCCGACACCACACGCTCCCTACCTACCTAGGTACACAACCAGACCCCAAAAATGAAGCCCACCACCCCCCTCCTCCTCCTCTCCCTCGGCGCCACCGCCCTCGCCCGCACCCACGACAACAGCACCACCACCACCGACACCACCACCACCAGCGGCGGCGGCGGCGGCGGCTGGCGATCCTGGGACGACTGCAAAAAGCTCGAGAAGCTGCGCGAAAAGGTCGCGCTGGGCGTGAACGCCACGACCACCGCCGATTCCGAGGGCGGAGAAAAAGAAGGTCGGCGCGTCAAGTGGGCGGAGAAGCTGGCGAAGCTCGAGGCGAACGAGACGTTGGTGGCCGAGTGCGCTGCCAAGGCAGGTGGTGGTAGCGTTGCCAGTGGTGCTGGTGGTGAGTTCTTTCCTATCCTTCCTATCTATCTTGTATGCTGGTGATGGGGGTTGCTAACGATACGCAGTGGCTTCGCCAACCGGAAGCTCTGGCGGCAGCGCCGAGGCGACGGGGTCGACGAAGCCGCCGTCGGATTCCACGATCATCAGCGGTGTTAGCGGAGCGCTGGAGCCGGTTGGGAATATGTTTGGCATGTTGGGGGTTGTGTTGTTTGGGGCGCTGCTTCTTTAGGTGGTGAGGGTTGTGTCGGGAGGGTGGGATTGGGATAGTCGGGGGGTTGTCATGGAGTGGAAGAGTTGGTGTTGCGGTCTTGCATTGTCCTGGAGTCGATGCTTTGAATGGTTTGGCTGGAACATGATTGTAATCGGAGTAGACGGCGTACTCTGGCCGTCTCGGTGTTGTCTGTTAGATCAAGGTCATGATGTTGTAAATGTAAATTTTCTGGAACCACGTTAACTTTGTTTCTGAGAGGTAGAGGTAGATTGACCCCAGGGTACCTACCGCCCTGAGAGGCATCATTCTGGTTCACTTCAACACGTGGTACTTTGGCCCTCGGGTCCTGTCTTGACAACGTCACTCTCTCCCAACCAGGACTTGTTTCCCTCACGGCTCGTCACCTTGAGTCTCCGAGATAGGCAACACGAATTCACTTCCGAGGAACCTATGTTTGTGCACGGGGAAACCCCATGGCAAAAATTCATATTTTGTGTGGTGGGAATGGTCCTCAACGGTCCCATGTACCCATCCCGCTGTCATGTTTTGGTCGTCAAAAAGACGCTCGCTGCCCGGGTCCGACACCCAAGACCCGCGGATACGCCTGCCTCGGCGTCATCCAGCACCCATGCAGTCGTTTGCTGCAATCCCAACCTGTCTCCAAATGAGCAACAGGTGCAAAGGAGCTGCTTGAACCATGCCAGCCCTCCCAAGATCAACGCCCGTTTTGAGTAGCCCCGATTGGCATCTCCTCCTCATCCATTCGTAGCAATCATCCGAGAAATAAAGCCACCCCAAACACCCATCCAGGGGCCGTTGCCTCCCCTGAAAACAAGCAAATGCGTACCCGAAGAAAGATATTGCTTGGTATCGGTACAAGGCGCCCATTCAAAGGCCGTTGAGTAGCAGGCAAAGCAGAGCTCAAAAGTCCCCCTATTGAGGGGCCTGAGAGGCGTAGCTCCCAGCATTTCCACGTCCGCCGCGGTAGCCACGGCCGCGACCGCCACGACCGCGACCCCTGCCGCGGTAGCCACGATAGCCACCATCCACGCTGCCTTGGCCAAATGTCTCCATGTTCTTGCGCTGCTCCTCGCCGCGCCACTCTCGGCCACCTGGCTTCTGGCCGCTATTCTCGCTTCGATCCTTAGCCTCGCTCGAAATGTTATCAAAGAACGATGTCGACTTGTTGTAGGCGGGGAGATTCGTGGACACATTCTCTTGGGCTGTGTCGGGCGTAATCTGGCCCACAGGGGTCTCCGTGGCGGGCGAGCCCGAGACAGCCTCCTTCACGAGCTCCTGTTTGTTGAATTTGGCGTTGGAAGACGCAAAATCAAAATCGGATGCAGGAACCTCGACCTTGGTAGGGCGAGGTCCGCGACCGCGAATCGCATTGTTGCTTCCGCGGCTGGGTGCCTGAGATGGCCGGGGAGCACCGATTCTCATCTCGTTGACCTGGTTGGTAAGGTTGTCAACCGGGTGTCCGTTGGCTGGCGGAGCGGCACCCGAATTCAACGCGGCCATTGCCGAAGCCACCGCTGCCTTGGCAGCCTGGGTGGCATCCCGCAAGGCGGCAGCTGCGTTAGGCTGGTCCGCCAAAGGCTTTGCCGCCGAGGACTGTGCCTGGGGCTGGTTCCTTGAGGTAAGGGCCGCCGGGAGGGGAACGGCGGGCAGGATCTGACCGGGACGGGTGACCTTGGGACCCGTCGGAGCAGACTTGGGGGCCTGCTGCACAACTGGGGCAGGCGCAGCGCTAGGGAGCGCAGCGGCAGCGGCCCTCACCTCTCCGATGCTCGGCTTCGACTCGACAGGTGGCGTGGGCGCACTAGTCGTGGCTGTCTGCTTGATGGGCTGACTAGACGGCTTGGGCTCAGAAGGTCCGGGTTGCTGAGCAGGAGTGGCAGGCTTCCGATCGGCCGAAGGTCCGATGGGTGCTGGCTTCGGCGCCGGCGCCTGGTTGTTGGGAGTGTGGTTCGCAGAAACGCGACCGACGGGACCAGGCCCCGTAGGGGCCCCGGGATGACCGTGGGGACCCGGCGGGTACGGGTAGTTGTTCCATCCACCGGGGCCCATCGGAGGAGGTTGTTGGAAATCGGGACCGCCAGCAGGACCGCCATACCATTGGGGCGGAGGAGGATACTGGCCGGGCATGCCGCCGAATGCGCCGGGTCCGGGAGGCCCAGGAGGTCCGGGAGGACCGGCACGTCCCCAACCGGCAGCCATGTGAGGGGGGTAGTATCCGAAGCCGGGAGCGCCCGGGGGCGGGCCTTGCTGGTTGGGCATGCCGTGAGGACCTGGGCCATGGTTGGGGCCGGGACCGGGAGGTCCAGGCGGGCCGGGGGCCACGTTTCCAGGCCGAGGACGAGCCTAATTCGACATCATTGTTAGCATCGAGTCCCAAGACATTGATGGTTGCAAGAGTGCTTGAAGATGACGTTTGATCAGAAGGAAGGCAACGGAAATCTCAACATGATAAGTTTGCGCTATTCAGAATGGTATACTGAAGTTTACATCCGAAATATTTCATCATAATGTCATCGGGCAGGGACGAGAGAATGGGCAAGACTTACTCCGACAATGGCGGGATCATTGGGCATCACCGGGGGCTTGTTCTGCTTGGGCGGCTCTGGTGGGTGCTCGATCCTCAGGTCCTTGACATCGGTGCCGCGAAAGACAATGTAGTCGTAGATCTGATCCGAGGCCGGGACCTCGTCGTCGGGGTTGCCTCGGCGACCCTCGCTGCCAAAGGACTTGACATTCTGGAGAGAGACGGTCGAGTCTTCGGAGTTGATCTCGTGGAGGATGCCAGCATAGCTGGGGGAGAGTTAGCAAGACGGCGAGGCAGGGGAGGGGAGGGGAGGGGGGAGGCCACGTACCGAATGTCGCTCACGGATATGAGCGAGATGCGTGCTCTGTGATGGTCCTGTCAGTAGGTAGTCGCGCCATGCAGGGCATGCGTGAGTCGCGTGCAACTGACCCTATAAATTCAGACATGGCGCAGAATGGAAGAGAAGGGCTGGGACGAAGCGTGGGTTGGGAACCCGACGAGACGCAGGGTGAAAGAGATGCTTGATGCAAGAATGAAGAGACGAAGACGGAAAGGAAGAGAGCAGTGATCAACTGATCTCTGGCGAGACTGTGAGACTGCGGGGTTGTGCGGGCCGCGAACGACGTACGTTCGTTCGCCTGGCAGAAATGGGCGACCGTGGAGTCGAAGGAAGTCGAAAGGGAAGGGGGAAAAGAGGAGAGCTCAGGCTTCGCCGAAAAGTTGACAGGGTGAAAATCCAGAGGCTCGTGCTTCCCTTCAGCCTCTCTGTTTTGGCAGTGGCCCAGCCCCCTCTCTGGTCAGAGGGGGGTGCCCCGCCACAAAACTGGAGCTGGGGAAACCAAGGGGCCCTAACCCTGGGAAGGGGAACAACGCCTGGTGTTTGTCGCAGGCCAGGAGCGTTTGCGGTGTGTTTGTTTCCAAGATCCTGGCGGGATGGGCTCTTTTTATGCGTGAAGGAGAGATGCTGACCGTTAGGGTTTGTCTGGCCACAGCCCTTTTTTTTTTTTTGCATGGCATGGGGTTGATGTGAGTTGTGCAGATTGCAGGTGGAGCACATGGTCTGGTCCGTGACTTGCGGGTTTTCACCTTCTTCACAGGCCAAAGTTAGACAAGACATTGGAACTGAAGGTGAAGTTGTGTAAGTTGTGTTTGAATCAACATCGGGTCAGGTACGG